GAAACTAAAACAGACCTTTCATGCCAGGGTAGCTGAATGTTTTTAAGTAGTAGGGCCTTAACTAAAACTTTTGCGTTTTACCAGCAATTTTGGTTGATATTGTTAAAACTTGATATTTCTCGAACGCATAGATTTATTGTCTTCATATTTTCAAATTCTCACCCCCCCCCCTTTCCGGGTTGAATTTCATGTGTTCGACGTTTTGTTGAAATTAAAGTGGAGCTAATATAACCAGGTTTTATTGACACACAATACAACATCCCAACAAAAAGACTGAGGGCTGAGATACTCGATTAAATTTCTCCTCACACGGGAATGATTCGAACTAGGTTCTTCTGTATGCAAGGGCGAAGCGTCTAACCTCTACCCCACAGAGGTTGGTCAAGAATTATATTCAATGAGCAATTAATGACTTTAAAATTATTATAATGCAAAAACCAGTCGATCGGAAGCTTCGTTTATCATGCATTATCATTTTTATGTGAAGCCAAACATTTCCAGTGTCCTTGGTTTTGTACGCTTGTCTATCATTGCCAGCCTTTGAGTTTTTCAAGAAAACAAAGTGTGTGCCTCCCATAGATGTAAATTGTGATATCCGAGGATCTAAGAATAAATAAGTGGTATATTTTAAATCTCCTTGTTATAATATCCCAGACCTTGAACTGCCATGGACGCCACTCTTTGCTCACTCTAAAAACTTCGCTGCACTGGTGAGTAGGTCATCTAGGGCGCAGGGAAAGTGAGGGAACTGCTGCTTTTTCTTTCCTAATCCTAACTATCGTCATCTTTTCCTCTACTTCTTTTGTATGTTTGTCACTCTCTTGTGAACTGCTATTTCCGGGGTGACTTGATAGTCGAAGCAGACTTTGCGCTGTTGAGGCTAGAGAGGTGAGCAGATTAAGCCTGATTATTCCCTGTAAGGACTTCTCTGTTGACATCAACACATTGGCGCTCATATGACCTTGTGCAGTGGCGAGCACCGTAAAACCATACTAAAACAGAAGGGCAAAATAACTACCCTCGTTTAAAATGATTAGAGGCAAGTCTTCTGAACCTAACTTTTCCCGTCTTGTTCTTCATTTGCTTTCAAATTTCAACTACAGTCAGTAAATAGTGCACTGTGGGTGGTTGGTGGGTGCTCTGGGGTAGTTTGCTTTTTCTGTCCTATCAAACATCTGTCGTCCTGTTCTCCCCTTCTTCTTTTTTATGTTTGTTACTCTCTTGTAACACCTCTAATCTTCTGGCGCTCATATTATGACCTCATGCAGTTGCGAGAGCCAAAAAAACCTCTACTAAAACTACAGTCAGTAAATAGCGCGCTCAATTAATTATGAACCAGAATTACATCAGAATGCGTAGTCTAGAACATTATTACGTGAGTCTATGGTGCCTGCCCCCACACAACGCTGTGTTCCATCCAACCTGTACGTTTACTAGTGCTGGGCGGCTAGGTTCCCGATTATTGAAATCTAGGAATCGTAGGAATCGACTCCGAACCCTTCTTCTTCTTCTTCTTCTCGATCGCATCACACTTGAAGTCCGGTATCTGTCATAAATTGGGCCGTCCTAGTCAGTTCATCTGGCGGCCCGTATAGCTTCTGACTCCGAACCCAAATACTTACTTTCTAATGGTGTGATTTCTTCCGGTAGTTACCTGGTTGGCTCCGAAATCTTCAGGGTTAAGGATAACCTTGATTTCGGAACACTACGAAGCATCAACTTTAATTTTTTTTTAAAAGAAGATTTTAATGAGTAACTTTTAACCGTTGGTTTACGTAAAAAGGAGTCGGAACTTTTCTTCTGTAGCGTTAATCGTGGGAATCGGTTCGTTTACCGTGTAAATAATAAAATACGTCAATGTTCTAGGATGCAACTGCTCGAGTTTTGGGTATCTGTGTTTGTTTTTGTTAACACAAACACGTGTTTCTAAAAATAAATGAATAGGTAAGCAATTTGCTGTAGACACTTGCTTTTGTTGATATTGTTGTTTCTGCTGCTGGGGAGTAGTAGTAGTAGTAGTAGTAGTAGTAGTAGTAGTAGTAGTAGTAGTAGTAGTTTGGTGGTGGTGATGGTGCTGCTGCTGCTAATGATGATGACGATGATGGTATTGGTGATGATGGTGTTGTGGTGTTGATGATGATAACCAAGATGGTGCTGCTGATAATAATGATGATGATGATGATGATGATGGTGTTGGCGATGATGGTAATGATGATGATAACCAAGAAGGACAGGCCCTCACAAGCACAGAACACGCAGACACAAATTCTTCATGTTTACATGATCTCAAGCTTAAGCTCGCTGTATTTTACACACATACATGCACACCCACACCCACACATACATACATACACACATGTACACACAAACACACACATATACACACACACACGTTCACGCACACATATAGATCTATACAGAGAGGGAGGGGGAGTGAAAGAGGTTAAATTAAACCCCCCCCCCCCCCAGATTTTTCAAAAAGATATCAAGATTTCAAGAGAGAGAGATAGAGAGAGAGAGATAGAGAGAGAGAGAAAGAGAGAGAGAGAGAGAGAGAGAGAGAGAGAGAGAGAGAGAGAGAGAGAGAGAAAGAGAGAGAGAGAGAAAGAGAGAGAGAGAGAAAGAGAGAGAGAGATGAAGGGTGGGAGAGAGAGAGAGAGAGAGAGAGAGAGAGAGAGAGAGAGAGAGAGAGAGAGAGAGAGAGAGAGAGAGAGAGAGAGAGAGAGAGAGAGAGAGAGAGAGATGAAGGGTGGGAGAGAGCGAGCAAAAGCACTTAACAACACAAAATCAATTTACTCCAATTCACCATTTTTTTGCTTACTGGAAAGCATATTGTATTATTATTACTGGCGTGCCTTACATAACAACTTGATAACGTCACAGACGAGAAGAGAATGGCGGCTCCAAAATGGCGACGGACCGTTTCCATGGAAACCTCGGGATATTTCTTTAACAGATGAGTCTCAGGTCTTACTCTCGGTTGATGGTTGGTGTGTGCTCTGCTGTGGTTCGCTCCTTCTTTCCTTTCGAACATCAATCTTCATTATCTCTCTCCCTTACCATTTCTTTCGGTAGGTTTATCTCTTGGAACACATATAACCCTCGGCACTGATATGACTTAATTAATTGTGTTGCTAGTACCTTAAAAATCTTACTAAAAATCTTATTTAAAAAATTTACTCTTGTCTAGGATTCAGGAATGGGCTTTTACATTTATTGTTGATACTATTTTCTATCCAACAATACTCAAAGGGTGTTACTGTACTTACAGTTTGTACAATAAACTACTGGCAGAAAACTTCTTGGAACATTTTGATTTTTAATAACAAAAAGAATTTAAAAAAAAACAGAAATGGCAGGTTCGTGCGATATTTTCGCACACACACGATAGACACTCCAAAAGACACAGACACAACACTTTCATCCAATCCACAACGTGATAACAAACATACCAACCAATCAAACTGATTGTACGGCTTATTTACAAATTAGCAGCATGGGATTAAATCGTTAATTCTGCTGATATGGAGAAAATCAACACAGTTTGTACACATAAGATTGACAGGGTGAAGCTTAATCAACAAACAGTCCACAATTCCTGAGTAATGTAAAAAAAGCAAAAAAAAAGCAGGAAGGAATAGAAATAAAACAGTAAGATATAAACGAGGAACAAAAAAAAACCCAGAGAGAGAGAGAGAGAGAGAGAGAGAGAGAGAGAGAGAGAGAGAGAGAGAGAGAGAGAGAGAGAGAGAGAGAGAGAGAGAGAGAGTTTCTAGGCACAACATACAGAGATGAGGGTTTATGATTCCTTCAACACACATTGTCATCCACTGCCAACAATCACACACTGATAAACTACTTTCGATCATTATAAAAAAAAAAACACACAAAGAAAACAACAACAAACAAACCAACAGCAAACAAGCAAAAAAACAAAAAAACCCCAAAAAACCAACGACAAAAAAACAAACAAAATAAAACGGAACACATTGATAGAACAGAGGAAAACATACATTACATTAAATAAAATGAATGAAACAATAGTTAAGAGTCTATTAACACAACATATCGATTCGTTTTAATAATACTTGTTGAAATAGATACTATCTTAGTAATAAATACTAGCAAAGGATTACTTGTTTATTTCTAGTACAGTGTATTGCCACTTTCCCGCGTTTTCATACATGATTTACCAATATGGCTGCTTGTGGGCCTATTTGGCATAAAAATTTAAAAAAACCAAACAAACGAATAAAAACCTAAAAAGAAAAAAGAGAAACCTCTCCACTGCAACTAACATACATTCACGGTAACATTCAAGAACTTCTTCGAAACGCCGAGACGCGGAATATTATTATTATTAGGTTGATATTTTGGGTTAAATCTAGGAAGGACGAAAATTGGAACCAAACAAACATTGCAACTTAATACTAGTTGAACTACGAACAACTTTTGAAAAACTATACGTGGTGAAAACAATTGAACGGGTAAAACAATAAAGGGCAAACGTCACATTTTGCTAGAAATAGGATTGTTTATGATCACGGCGATTCACTTCAAGAGATGCTTAGATGCTTATACAATATTGCATTTGAATGAAATGACAGGACTGCTTTAAATCAGAATTCTGACCTATACAAAATTACCAAAAATAGTAGTACAATAGATATTTATCATGTTTTTAAGTCCAGCCATTTTTTTGGCGTTTTTTTTTCGAAATGACTTCAGAGTGACTTAAACCGAATATTATCTTTTAAAACCCCTTTTAATCAATTTAGTTGTGCTTTGTACTTGTCTGTGTGAGGTATTATACTGCGTACGTGGTGGGGAAGGGGGGGGAGGGGGGGGGGAAGGGGAACCGTTTTGGGGCGAGGGGAAAGGGGAGGGGATCGGGATTGGGGGGGGGGGGGGAGGGTGATGAAATCTCTTAGTAAATACAAAATGATACGGCGTTTCTGAATATGTCTCAATTTCTTCTTTCCAATTTTTAGTTGACTTACTTTGCATGTTATTATCATTACTATTATTATTATTATTATTATTATAATTCTGGAGAGAGTAAGGCGTGAAATATTGTTATATCAACGATGATGTTTTTTTTTCAAATCACTACTGGCAGAGCTCTCTTTCAAGGCATCCGTAGTGCTGTTACTCATTCGCCACGCAAGCACTCGGAATTACACTCCTCCATCGTCGCGAACCTGTTCTCGTTGCCCTGGCAACCGCCGTAAATAAACGGGTGGCACTCCATGGTAGTCTTGTCGAAGAAGTAGCGCCTGAACAAGGCTCTGCAGGGCCCGGGGTCAGGGGTCAGGAAGCAGCCTCTGGGTGTCTGGGACAGCTCCTCCGACAGCATGTTGCTCTCCAAGTCTGCGCGCTCCTCCTCTGCAGACGACAAGACAACAGTCATTTCATTAAACATATTTTTTTTAAAAGTAAAGTTTTTTTTTATGGTAAGTATTTTGCGGCGCTCGCAACTGCATAAGGTCATATGAGCGCGCGGGACGCACTAAACATTTTCAGTTGGTAGGAAATTTTGAATTTTGCCCGGGTGGCGGCCAAAGCCTACTCTTATCGACTTTAGACCACGAAGAGATCTTTAACGTGGGCAACTTGCACACGGGACCTCCGAGTCAGAAGCCCAGAAGAGGGGGCAAAAGAGGTGAGGGGGTGAGGGTAGCAAGTGGAGACGAAAGCAGACGACAGAACATTGCTAGAGAGCAGGAGAGGAGGTGAAAGGAGACCATTTTACAGAAGAACATTTTTTTCGTCGCTACCCGGATTCGAACCAAGGACCTTTGAATGAGAGGCCAACACCTTGACCTCTAGGCCACGAGAGCCCCCGAATACGTTTTTGTTTTTTTAAAGAAAAAAATACATAATATACATTGTAGACAAAACAATACATACACAATTACAGCCAAATACAAGTAGTAGTAGCAGTAGTAGTAGTAGTAGTAGTAATAATAATAATAATAATAATAATAATAATAATAATAATAATGATAATAATAATAATAACAATAATAATAATAATAATAATAATGATGATGATGATGATGATGATAATAATAATAATAATAATAATAATAATAATAATAATGATGATAATAATAATAATAATAATAATAATAATAATAATTTAAAAAAATGATAATGATAATAATAATAATGATAATAATAATAACAATAATAATAATAATAATAATAATAATAATAATAATAGTAATAATAATAATAATAATAATAATATTAATAATAATAAATAGCATTTGTATAGCGCATATCCCCCCCCCCCCAACAGCAGGCTCTATGCGCTTTACACTATATTATTACCCCAGCAGACCATAGAACACTCAGAAACATTCTCAGCTTCCCGGGAAGCATACAGCGCAAACAGCTGATTAAGCGCTCAAACACTAACAAACTGACAATATCTTTCACTGTCTATAGCTGCATTAGCTGGGTATCCATTCCCACCTGGGTGAAGAGAGGAAAATTCGTGCAAAGAGCCTTTTCCAAGCACACAATGTCGGGCCCCTGATGAGATTCGAACCCACGACCTTACGGTTGCGAGTCTGAGAGCCTAACCTCTAGGCTACCGACAAGTATTATTATAGAAGTAATCATCTTTCACGAGCTATCAGGGTTATCATGCAATGTTTCACACAATATTCAATATTCAAAGTATTTGGAGAATCTTGCAGGATTATCATTGTGTTGCACAAAATTCAAAGTATTTGGAGAATCTAACCGGTTTATCAATGTGTCACACAATATTCAAAATATTTGGAGGATCTAACAGGTTTATCAATGTGTCACACAATATTCAGAATACATGAGCGTATTTGAAAAATCTAGCAGGATTATCAATGATGCCTGCTAAGTTAACGAAGCGCACATTGAACTAGTTTTTAGTTACAGTAAGAGTTTTACGGCACTTGCAACACAATCTCGTCACATAAGTGCCGAAGATTAGAAGTGTTGCAAGCGAGTAACAAACACACACACACACACACACACACACACACACACACACACACACACACACACACACACACATACAAAAGAAGGAGGAAAGATAAGGACGATCGATGTTTGATAGGAAAGAAGGAGCAAACCACACCAGAGCACCCTCCAGCCACCCACGCACAGATCACGTGCAATCATCGAACACTACTATTGTATAAATAGCAACCTGTTTCGTTAAAAAAACCCCCCAACAACAATTCGCTTGCATTTACAAATCTCAAAAACATTTTTTTTTCAAATTCCTAAATTTAAGTGACGTCAATCTAATTTCCCAGAGACCAGCTGATAACCATTTTGGCAATCACTGACGACAGAGTCGTAGAAGGCCGTGCTAGGAGCAGGAACGATAAGTGATAGAGGGATGTCTGCTTCAGCTGACAGCAGGTCGACTCAGTTCATCTGAAGTTGTTGGGGTCATTGGTAGAAACTGGGTTAACCCTATCAGTAGTACACCCTGGGGTCATTTTGTACCCCCGGGGTTGTATTCTCCACATTTCAAAATACTTCTAGATCTAGTACGAGGATCTCTTTGAAAATTTCAGTATTTCTCAAAAAATTATTTTTTGCTATGGGATCGGATTGATGAGTAAGTTTCCTCTTTGGAAGTGGTGGCACAGAGTTCCCCACGTCGTATGGATACGATAGTAAAAAACGACGTAAGGATAGGGTTAACCAATTACGACACATTGATCTGCGAGTGCGATGTTGCTGTGTTGGTTATCTCGTTAGATAGAGCAGTACATGTTGGAGTAATTAACTGTTGTAACATCCCTGGTCATATGCTAGATAGAGGGACGGTTGGTTTGGGCCGTAGATGTGTTCAATATTGAGTTATCTGATAGGGTTTGTGGTCACTTAACAGTGGTCATATTGACAGAATGGTTATGTAAACATGGGATGGGATGCTGATACACACACATACACATACACACATACACACACACGCACGCACACACACACACACACACACACACACACACACACACACACAAATGCACATACAATGCACATTACGAGCACACACATACAGATATACACACACATATACGAATGCACACACACATACACACGCATACACATATACACCCACGTACGCAAACATACATAATATGCACACATTGATACGCATAACATAAAGCCAGTGGCGAAGCGTCTATGTTATAATCAAATAATCACTGCCTCCTTTCCTCATTTTGGAGCATCGTCGCAGTCAAATTCACCCATAGACACCCATAGACGTAGACATCACAGATTAATAAATATAAAAAGATGTTCATGATCACTAATGAACAATATACTTAACATTCAAAACTGTTTCATTGCCTCATAAATACCATGTTCACCCCTTTTGGGCCACTTCATAAGCTGTCAAACAGCTTTAATTATGTAAGCTTAAAGTGAGGCTGGAAGAGTCTACCAAAAGAGTTGAAGGGAACATGTAGACTACACTCAAAACTGTTTCATTGGTATATTATATACCCTGTTCACCTCTTTCAGGCCACTGTCATAAGAGAGAGAGAGAGAGAGAGAGAGAGAGAGAGAGAGAGAGAGAGAGAGGGGAGAGAGAGAGATAGAGAGAGAGAGGGAGGGGGGCAGAGTGAGATAGAGACAGACAGACAGACGAACAAACAAACAAACAAACAAACAGACAGACAGACATACACTATTGCAATCTACGTCACCACACCTGGTACATGCTCCAGCAAGTTATGTTGTTTGAAGGACAGCCTGGAGAGAGAGAGAGAGAGAGAGAGAGAGAGAGAGAGAGAGAGAGAGAGAGAGAAAGAGAGAGAGAGAGAGGGGAGAGAGAGAGATAGAGAGAGAGAGGGAGGGGGGCAGAGTGAGATAGAGACAGACAGACAGACGAACAAACAAACAAACAAACAAACAGACAGACAGACATACACTATTGCAATCTACGTCACCACACCTGGTACATGCTCCAGCAAGTTATGTTGTTTGAAGGACAGCCTGGAGAGAGAGAGAGAGAGAGAGAGAGAGAGAGAGAGAGAGAGAGAGAAAGAGAGAGAGAGAGAAAGAGAGAGACAGACGAACAAACAAACAAACAAACAAAGAGACTAGTTCAATCTACGTCACCACACCTGGTACATGCTCCGGTAGGTTATTATGTTGTTTGAAGGCCAGTCTGGACTTATGTAGCCGCGGGCTGAGGTAGGGGGGAGGGCGGGCATCCTCTTCCTCCCCCACTCCATCCTCCTCCTCTGTCTCCCTCCCTCTGACCTCCTCCAGGCTCTCGGGTTCTGGCGGGATCTCCTCTGACTCGGAGTCTTCCGCCGAGACCTCGTTTGTCTCCTCAAACTCGTGTCTGCCCTCTGGGGAAACAGAACGGTTAAATGTGAACAAATTTCGAAGGATGAACTGAGCAGGACGGCCCAATTTATGACAGATACCAGACTTCAAGTGTGATTCGAACGAGAAGAAGAAGAAGAAGAAGAAGAAGAAGAAGAAGAAGAAGAAGAAGAAGAAGTAAACAAAATACAGTTAGAAACAATAAATGATTCAAGTAGAGGAAATCTCAAAGAATGGGGGATTCTGCTGTGCATAATAATTTCATGATGGTGGAGTCAATATTGCTGGCAATCTGTTCAACTGCTCTCAGTCCAGAAAACAAAATCTTTTTTTTAATACGACAGCAACAACAAGAACGCAAGTTCAAAACGCCTAGATGGGAATTCGAACCAAATCCATTTGCTTCAAGTCCAACATGTTACCAACCATACTGACGGCGCGTGCACCCTCTCATTACACAAGAAAATAATGCAGGATGATAGTGTGGTAAAAAATTCGTGGAGCAATGTATTGTCAAATATTTCCTCAACTATTGAATATAGATATATCTAAAGTCTTCAGTTTTTGCGCAATGGCTTGTATCAATTTGTCTTAACAGATCAATATTTTTGTGAACACTGCTAGCCGTTTTCTAGAAAATTCCTTAATAAACACTAATTAAAAATCCCAGTGGGTGATTTCTACAGATTTCAAAAGGGCTACAGCTAGGCAATATCGCTTTGAAAAGCAAGTACGTAACCCATTGAATGCATTTTTGAGAACCATTAGTACAAAAATGTGTTCTATACAACATTCATTTCTTGTAACAAATTTTGCCGCTATAGCTAGCATTTGTGAACTGTGACGTAACCACATACGTATGTGTGTGAGAAACGGGAAGTGCGGTGAACTTCGCATGACGGAGATATACAATAATCATGGTATTTTATAAACATTTATGAAGAGAAGTTTTATAATCTAGCCTCAATTTGTTGCGGAAAAATATGATTAAGTTAAGACAAAGCGATACAAACTGCTGTGCAAAATATGGATGACATTGATTCTCCCGTTACAGAGATATTATTTGAGGTAAGTTGCGCCACAAATTTTTGACAGCACTATAAAGGTACTACACTCGTTTCCGAAGCGTAAAGTCTGGGTTCGAGCCTCAGTTCGGACACGGATTTTTTTCCCACCCCCTACTGCCCACCCAGCAGTAATGGGTACCTGACTTCGATTTGGGGAAGTAAGGCCGGCGTGGCAAGGAACTGGCCACCCTACCACAATATGCCGAAAGCTCAGGAAGTTGTCTCACTAACAAGGCAATCCCCAATGTCCGGATCGGATGCAGGAATAATTTTACTTTACTTTTTATAAAGGTACACCCTCTAATAATACAACCGATAAAGTATATTGAACTAAAACAATCTGTGATGCACTCACCGACACACTGCCGGCTGACAGACGGGTCCCACTGGGCGCCCTCTCCGAAGGGAACACACGCCATGACAGTCGGCCCGTGCAATACGAAGCCTTCCTTGCAGACGACATAGACCACTGAACCCACACGAGTGCCCTCCCCTTTGATGGCGCCGTTCTCTGGGGGTTCCGGTTCCGGGCAGCGGATTCCTAGATCTGGGGGTGAGAAACAATTTGTGTGTTGATTTGTTTGTTTCTTTGTTTGAGAAAAGAAAAGTACATCGATACAATAATGGTCATTTAGTGCTCTGGGAAAAAAGTAAGACAGACAGACAGAAACAACAGAGGGAAAGTACAGAAGTAAGACCAACCATTGATGTCCTTCAACCCCCCCAGATTTGGGGTTGGGAAACAATTTGTTTGTTTGTTTGTGTAAAGAAACACACATCGACAAAATGATGGTCATTTAGTGTTGGTGAAAAAATATGACAGACAGACAGACAGAAACAATACACTAGAGGAAAAGTAAAGAAGTAGGACCAGCTTGAGGTGCCCTCCAACCACCAGATTGGGAAACATTCATTCATCCAGTGCCAAATCTGCAATAGACATCGTCCATCATGGTTCTCCTTTCATTCCTTAGCTCGGATGTTCTTAAAAGAGCTACGTTTCCCTGATCTTTCCCAGTTCCCCATTTGTTTAGGTTCTCTAAGTAGCTTTCTACCCCTGCCTCGTTTGCCTTCAGTTATGCCAGTGAGAGTTAGATGTCCCAGACCTTTATGTCTATTCAGGTGTCCCAAAAAACGGCATTCGTCGTTTCCCGATGTTTTTGTTTTTTTTTAAAGTTCATATATTGCGAAAAAGATGATAGACGAGGGTTTTCCAGTTTCATACATGTAGTGCAAGAGATCGAGTCTCTTCTTTTTATTGAAATGTGCTGAGTCTACTTCCTGGAGAGATGTATGCTAAATAAACACAGTCAATAGCGATAACAGCAGCAGCAGCAGC